CTTGCATCCTTTTAGACAAATAATTTCTAAACCAATCTAAAACACTTCCTGTTATACCATATGCCTTCAATTTACCTAACAAAATATCTCTATCAATCGTTTCAAATGCCCTCTTCAAATCCAAAAATACTGCTATGACAACTTTTTCTGAGTCAATGGGTCTTCTCCAATTCTCAATTACCAACTGGAAAGCCGTTTCTGTGGAATATTTTTTCGAAAGCCGGCTTGCGCCTCCACTAAAATTTTGTTTTCTTCTATAAACTGCATTAATTAGTCATGCACTATGGACTCTAATAATTTTTCAATGTCTGGTAACACATTTACTGGTCTCATATCGCTGCATCTTTTAGAATTTTTTATTTTGGGAACTGGTGTTATTGTAGAGCATTTCAAATTTTCAGGAAAAGAACTGCTTCTCAGTGAACAATTGATCCAATTTAATACAGGATATCCCAAAATTTCGAAACAGTTTTTCAGCACGTTTTTAGTAGTGATTTCGGCACAGTTGTTATTTGATTTTAAACTGTTTACTTTTTTTCTTAGATAATTCAATTATACGCTGTAAAATTTTGAAAGTCTATGCAACATTTCCCCCTGGAAACTGATTTTCATATAGTCAGGTGCAGCATTGGCAGTACCCACAACATCAACAATACTTTCCACAAAATATTCATTTAGTTTGTTTGCAATCACCAAAGAATTTGTTTCGGTACCGTTTTCGAATTGAACTTGATTTACACAATCATGCGGCTTCGAATTGATCAGTCTTTTTAAAGTCTTCCACATCTTTACACTGTCGCACTTGTTATTATCGATTTGTTTATGGTAGAATTTCCTTTTTTCTTCTCTAATTACATATACACATTTATTCCTAAGAGTTTTATATACCTCCCAATCATCATTTGATGTGGTACATTAGTTTCTTCCATCCATTTTATAGCCTGTTTTGAGGTATGGCACGCTGCACCATCTTGCTGAAACACAAAATCTTGCCGGATGTCAAACATTCTTCCATCACTGGTAAAAGCGATTCTTCTAAAATCGCCAAATATTTGTTTGTATCCACATTTCCATCAATAAAATGAAGTTTTCCTACTCCTTTTGATGACATACTGCCCCAGACCATAATGGATGCTGGAAATTACACTTTTCTCTTCAGAAAGTCGACATGGAATGCTTCATTTTTTGCGAATAACTCTACTGCGACTGTCACCAACACAAACTTCGAATCGGGCCTCATCACTCCATTGTATTGCACACCATTGTTGAGGTATCCATTGTCTATGTTCTTTAGCCCATCTAAGCCGATTTTTCTTTTGCAGTGGAGTTAATATTAACTGAACCAGTTACGTTATATCTTCTAACAATATTTCTCACACTGTACCGCGATAAGTCTAACAAAGTTGCAATTTCTGAGTTTGATTTCCCAGAATTAAAAAATTTAATTATCAGTAACCGAATTTTCTCACTAATAACCTTTCCTCTACCCATTTTGAAAACCTTAACTACCCAAATCTATTTTAAACGTATTCTGACAGACTTATTTTGATTTGAAATGAAAATAGGTTGATATGCTGTAATTGCAACATGTGTTATTTTTATGCTGCAAATTTGACTAGGGAGTGAAAAAGTTGGTGTTTTCTACTATATATTATCATAATATTCTTTGTTAATATTTTAAACCTATAACACCCTGCTACATTTTCATTATTTGTGTTTGATAAGAAAAAAACTTTCAGTAGTCGGGCCAACTGAAGTGGGAAGGGGCTCGTACTCATTCATAGACATGTTTTTCTTGAAGAGCTTCTGTCAAACGCACAATGCAAGGCTGCGAATAGATGCTTTTGAACTGTATGTTATTCTGGAGGCACATTCTTCAAATATTCACAATTGTACAGCCATTATTGTTGAACCACAAAAATTTGAATTAGAAAATACAAAAATATACAGAGCGTTTGTGTCGATGCTTCGAGCATAGCGCAAATCCTTATTATTATGTAATACTGGCCGTTAAGTTTCTACTTTTCGATTTAATATGGGATTTAGAGGGCCATCTTACACAAATCGTATAAATTTTCCCTAGTTTGAAAGACATTTTACAACAAAGTTCATATATTCAAGTTCTGTTTTAGAAATAGGAGTTTAATTGGAATGATTGAACATGTTAACTGTCAAATATCAGGTAACCAAATAAGTTCGTGCGGTTTTTAGCAGAAAAATATAAATTTTTATTATTATTATTATTATTAAACAAATTTGAGTTGAGTACAAGTACTATAAACTCAAACACATAATTGATAATAGTGTACAGACAAAAGAAATATAACAATTTGACAATCTTAGCACTTCTAAAATACACATATACAGAATGGGAACAATACGTTAAGCACTGCGGTGTTTTTGAAACTGTTGACGGATGCCCAGTTCACTACATAAGATGGAAGACTGTTCCATGCATCGAAGACACGGTTTGAGATAAAACGCTGACGAGTACAGGTTCTAAAAGCTTCCTTCTGCAATTTGAAGTTATGACCTCTGAGATTGTTCGTTGCCAGACGAAGCAGATGCGACATGTCCACACCAAAGAAATTATGCAGTTCTCTGAAAGTGATGATGAGATCTCCTCGCATTCTTCTATCAGCAAAAGCAGGCAGGTTATATAACTCGAGGCGGCCTTCATAACTCGGCTTACGTGTGCCATAAGGCATACGTGTAGCACGACGCTGAACGGCCTCTAATAAGCTGCTATCGCAAACAAGGTTTGAACCCCATACCGGACCAGCAAACTCCAGTAGGGGTCGTACGAAAGTTGTGTATAAAAAGGAGGAGGTACTAACGGTGCAACCGCTAAATGACCATTCCATCATATATAGCAACCGCTTTGCCTTAGTGGTTATGTTCTGAATGTGCTCCGACCAGATGAGCCGGTCATTAACTGTCAGACCAAGATCTGTGCGAAGAAAAACAGTGTCTAAGGTATGTTTGCCAATCCTATATGTTAAGTTAGGATTATTCTTTCCCAGGAGGAGAACGTAGCATTTCGAGAGATTTAAAGGCAGGAGCCAAAGTTCTGACCACTTTCTGATCAGCTTGAGGTCTTCTTGAAGCACAGATGAGTTCATGGCAGTGTTATAGACTTTAGTATCATCTGCATAGATGGAACACATAGAAGAAAGTCGGGTGGGAAGGTCGCTTGTATAAAGAAGAAAAAGTATTGGCCCTAGCACAGATCCTTGTGGAACTCCACTAGTAACACGATGGCTAGAAGAATAGGCGTCTCCAACACGGACGGAGAAAGATCTATCTAACAAAAAAGCTTCAATCCAAAACAACAAAATTTCCCCTGATTGCGAGATGTTCAAGCTTGTGCAGGAGCCTTTTATGCGGAAGTCGATCGAAAACTCTGGAAAAATCCAGATAAACCACGTCGACCGGTTCATTTGCGTCTAAAGATCTGGTCCAATTGTCGATGCAGTGTTACATGTTGGTGATAATTGATCTACCAGTAATAAAATCATGTTGGTTGCTAGGCAGCAGGTTGTTCTTGAACGCAAATGTCATAAGTTGTTCTTGGACGATCTTTTCGGCTATTTTCGCAGCTATAGGCACAAGACTGATATGACGGTAGTTTTTCGAAGATGTTTTATCTCCTTTTTTGTATATAGGTGTCACAGATGCAGTACGCCAACAGGAAGGAAGGATGTGATTTTGAAACGAGGAGTTGAATATAATGCACAGGGGGTATGCGAGAGTACTTCATAACGGCATTGAGAAACAATAAGACACTATTTATTCGGCGAAGTAATTACCATCACATTCAATGACCTTTTGCCAACGTGGCACCAATTTTTGTATGCCGGTATTGTAGAACTTCCTGGATTTGGAGTCAAAAAATTAGCGGACTGCATTTATTACACCATCTCGAGTTATGAACTGTCGGTGCCTCATACAGTTGTCAAGAGAAAAAAAAAGGTGATAATCACTAGGCAAAATTTCGGGAGAATATGGCGGGTACGGTAACGTTTTCCAGCCGAGTTCAGAAATTTTTTCTCGGGTCACTTTTGCTGTATGAGGCTTGGCGTTATCCTGCAAGAATATCACTTTCTTCCGATTGATCAAAGAAGGCTGTTTCTGGATGAGTGCTGCTTGTACTCGTTGAAGCTGCTCACAATACAAGTTAGCAGTCATGGTTTGACCTGTTTCCAAAAACTCAGACAATTCCAGTTGCTGTCCAAAAAACACACAACAAAACCTTGTTTGGGTGCAAGGAAGCCTTGGGCGTGTGTGGTACCAATTAAGAAATAGTTCATTAGCGTTGCGTGAAATGTTTGCTCAACAAATGATAAGACGACTTAACTTGTTATCATTTGTCAGTTCATGTGGGTCCCATTTGCTTAACTTTCACGTCTTTCCTAACTGATGACGATGCAAACGAATAGTTTCAGGACTCACTGTGAACATTTCTGCAAGTTCTTGGCACGTTGTCCTGGAATTTGCGTCCACAACCTGTTGAAGATCCTCGTTGTTCGTGATTTTTGGTCTCCCTGAGCGCGGTTTATCAGTTAAACTGAGATCTCCCGAGGAAAAATTTTTGAACCACTTGTGTACTGTTCGATCACTAACGGCATCATCTCCGAATGCGGTACATATTTTTCGCGCCGCCGCTGCAGCTTTTGTACCAAGTGTGTACTCATACAGTAAACAACTTCGAATTACTGTTTTATTCGTCGCCATTTTCAATTATTAAAACTAGGTATGTAACAATTTGCAGCAACTTTTTGTGGGTGTGAGAAAAGAAGAATTCATACTATAGTGACAACAGGTAAAAAACAGTCGCTATCGATCATCAACATCCATGGCAATGTGCGATATACAGCAACCGCATGAACTTATTTGGTTACTTGATAGTTAAATAAGTTTTTTAATTGTCCTAATTAAAGTTTTAATTTTTTCCTTAGTTGATAAAGAATTGTAACAAAATTGTACGCTTCTCCACTTACCTATTTGTATTCCATTGACTAACTTTTCCGCATGAGCCCTAACTTGGTTAGGCGGCTGTACCACGCAAGTGAGGATCGAGGTCATGTCCAGCAATTTATGTAGCAACCTTCCACATGCCGGTCCGTCTGCCCGTATGGCGATGCTTTCAGTTATGCCTCCAGTCAAATCCGCCAAGCCGTCCAACATCGAGCCATACTTCAGGGCTTCATAAGATCCATGTAGCCTGAAATATTAATAATAATAACATGACATTATGTAGGTTTTTTTACAAGACGTCAACTTAAAACTAGCTGTTGTACACTTGCTGTGAACTCCTTTTTTGCTGGATGTGTTGCCTTGCCTAAACAACGACGGTTGAGCTATCACTGTTTGGCTTTGATGTGATGTAACATCTGCTTCAGAGATGGCACTATTGGACGTCTAAGCTGTAGGTTGTACACTATGAGCCCCTTCCCACTTCAGTTGGCCCACTTCAAGATTTGTACCAAAATATGCCTTTATAAACTAAACATGACGAAACTATTTACTTCTAAAACAATTCATTTTCTCAAAAACGTTTTAGATACACTCTAGTCGTAAAAAATACATATTTGAAATCACTTAGACCTATAACTAATAGAACATCTGAACAAATAAACAATGTGCGAATAAATGCGCGAACTTAACAAAGCAACAATTGAAAGATTACCATTGGGTAACATCACCTTTATTTTTTATTACGGCCGAAATTCTTTGGGGCATAGTGTTAACCAAGTTTTGGCAAACACTTGGTGTAAAACAATCCCATATTTCTTGAAGCTTTTGTCTCAGTTCGGTGATTGTACGAGCAGGATGTTGTCGTAGGACCTTTTTCATCTCGTGCCACAAAGTTTCAATAGGTGACAGATCTGGACTGCTAGAAACCTATTTCAAAAGGGGTACATTACTTTCTTTCATCCATTTTATAGCCTTTTCTGAGGTATGGCACGCTGCACCATTTTGCTGAAATGCAAAATATTGGCTGGATGTCAAACATTCTTCCATCACTGGTAAAAGCGATTCTTCTAAAATTGCCAAATATTTGTTTGTATCCACATTTCTATCAATAAAATGAAGTTTTCCTACTCCTTTTGATGACATACTCCCCATACCATAATGGATGCTGGAAATTTCACTTTTCTCTTCAGACAGTCAACTTGGAAGGCTTTTTTTGCGACTGTCACCAACACAAACTTCGAATCGGGCCTCATCACTCCATTGTATTGCACACCATTGTTGAGGTGTCCATTGTCTATGTTCTTTAGCCCATCTAAGCCGATTTTTCTTTTGCAGTGGAGTAAATAGTGGCTTTTCTTTGGCCTATAAACAAGTTGTGCAACTTTAGGGTTTTTACTTCACTTTTTTTATAAGAAAACTTACCTTGCAAGTGCTAAATCCCAGTTTGCGGACCTCTCTATGAGCTGTGGACCTCGAAATTCTCCTTCCAACAGCGTCACTCCACAGAGCACTTAATTGTAAATAATTGGCACGCCTGTTTTTCACGATTATTCTTCTTAATGCTCTTCGGTCGGCATTTGTGATATTATTTTTTTTTCACATATCGTGGCTTAATATTAACTGAACCAGTTACGTTATATCTTCTAACAATATTTGTCATACTGTACCGCGATAAGTCTAACAAAGTGGCAATTTCTGAGTTTGATTTCCCAGAATTAAAAAATTTAATTGTCAGTAACCGAATTTTCTCACTAATAACCTTTCCTCTACCTTGAAAATCTTAACTACCCAAAACTATTTTAAACTATTAATATTTTAAACCTATAACACACTGCTACATTTTTATTATTTCTGTTTGATAAGAAAAAAACTAAGATTTCAATAGTTGGGTCAGCTGAAGTGGGAAGGGGCTCGTATAGCAGGAAGGAAACGGCAGCAATGGCAGTACTTAGGTGTATAGTGAGAGTTTGTGTGCTTTGTATGTTGATGATAATTTTCTTAGTTTCTTGTCTCAAATACACTTAATTGAGATGTATGCTCCATTTTGGAAATAATTACACACAAAGCGAGCACGATGATAATTTACCGTAATTCTTCGTAAGATGCAAAAAACGGGAAAAATAGTAATTCATAACTTTGAACATAACCTCTCTTCAGAAAGAACAATAAAAATAACCCGTCTGGTACAGCTAATAGATATACTTCACGGGCTGCATACTCAGTAATAATTTTCTCACATAGCAAATATCACTGATTTTATACACGTGCATACCAATACTCACAATCACCATGCAATCATTCAGATGCGATCTTGGTACTCTAACAATGTTGAATTTTCTGTCACATCTTCTCAATGATATACTCTACAGACTTGGCAGTCTGCAACCAACAAAGCATACTGAGGAACTAACTTGCAGTTTGCAGCATGATCATTGAGCGTGTCGTGTCGTCGAGTCAGTCCTCCAAAGGCTTTTGATGACGCTCACTACGCGCATAGCGAGCAAACGCGGAATGAACAATTTGCTACACTAGCAGGTTGACATTGTGTCGGTTATTTCAAATGAAAGTGAAAGATCGTCACAAATTCTGCAAAATTGTATCATTGGTTCGCTTGACATTACCGCATTTCGCACATTCCAGGGCAAGGCTTCCACCTCCATAGATTTATGATAGTACTGGGCTACTAGCGTTTTCTTTTTGCCAAAAAGTAGTTGAACACCGGTATGCACCACTCTCGTTAACTACTTCACAATAGACGCTGTATTTAATATTTTCGTTCATGGCTGCCTAAATGGCCGGTTTTCCAATGGGGATGCGTTGATGTCGAAATGTGATAAAACACGTTAGTTCAGACAGTGGTACGGATTCAAGGAATTCAAATTTTAGCAACCCCACTGTTGTCACCAACACAGTTATTGAAAAATTAAAAAAAGAGTATATTGACTTTCAACGCCGTCAAAACGACTTCCAGAGCAATTTTAAATGGACATCTTGCTGTCAAAAATTGTAGTTGGCATTTTAATTCACAAACTCGACCTCCAAATAACCGTTGTCATTCTCTAGGTAGTCTTAGAGAACATCGACAAAATGCTTTTAAGATCTCTTTCGTCATTGTCCGTCAGAGCGGTCCGTGGGACCTTCGCTTTTTGTCGTAGGTCAGTAGGCCTGTCAGGTCTGGTTGCCCAGATACCAGACGAAGTCAGGGAGAAAGAAAGCAAGAAGAGAGAAAGGAGGGAAGGGGGAAGAGCTAAGAGGGCGAAGTGCGCGGGTTAAAGGGATGCCTTGCTATTGTCAACTGGTATTCAGTTAATTTAAATTAATCCAAAAACCAATTTAGGAATTTGTTTGTGGCAAAATCGTAATTTTGGTTGGATATAGAATTGCACGATTTGATATTGATCACAGTGCAGAGCCGCGGTCTTGTGTGCTTGCAAACTTGCTCGACTGTGTAGTCTGCTGACTCACGCAACAGAGTGTTGCTGTGCGATTCCGCTTGACTATAACGTAACTGCGCCTGATGTTTGACGTAGTCCCTTAGGTAAGAGATGTCGAGGTCTCTGTGAAGGGTCTCGTTGGAGACATACCATGGTGCGTTAGTGATGGTTCGCAAGGTACTGTTCTGCAAAACCTGCAGATTACGCATATTCGTTTTGGCAAGAAAACACCATACTGCACATGCGTAAGTGATTGCTGGTCTGATAACCATCTTGTATAGCCGAACTTTGTTAACCAAACTTAATTTTGAGGTTCTACCTAGTAAACGGTAGAGTTGCCGAAACGCAATTTGGAATTTAGTTTTTAACGCTTCAGTGTGATTCTGCCAGGTCATCCCCCTGTCAAGAGTGACACCGAGATACATAGCAGAATTTCCCCATGGTATACGGGCTCCAGTCACTGAAACCTCAGGCGGGGCGCCGCTACGTTTTTTGGTACAATAGATAGCCTGCGTTTTCGAGTAATTAATTTTGATTAGCCACCGATCTGCCCATTCCAATACCTCATTCACCGCACTTTGTAACCTGTCGTGAACCAGATTCCCGGTACGCGACTGGGCCACCAGTGCAGTGTCATCAGCATATACGTATAGATAGAGTTCACAGTCGCTAGGGCAAGAGACATCATGGGTCAAAAGTGAGTAAAGGATTGGCCCTAGAACCGAACCCTGAGGAACGCCGGCCCTTATGGGCGGTACTGTCGACAAGAAATTATTAATTTTGATCCGAAATTTTCTACCTTGAAGGAAGGATTTCAAAAGTTTTAAGAGCCAAAATGGAAAGCCCTTTTGAATTAGTTTATAGAGAAGGTCCTTGTGCCACACCTTGTCAAATGCTTCCGAAACATCCAGAAGCAAGATGCCAGTACTTCCGTTAAGGGTGAAGCCCCTGGTTACTCGCTCCACAAGCCTAACCGCCTGTAAGACCGAAATCCGAATTGCACGTCAGGAATCACATAGTGATCTGTATTAGTGATTTGATCCTCCCCAGCCGCTTTACGCACCTTGAGGTCTTTAATATGACCTTGAAGTTCTGCTGGCGTGCAATGCGCGATCTCGGGAGAAGCCGCTGATGTGCTGTGCAACTCTTCAGCTGAAGAATCTTCCGAAAAAGAATCTGCTGAGGAAGAATCCTCTAAAATATCTCCTGACGGATCTTACAATTTGATGCTCCTCGTCGAGATCATTATCAAGATCATAGTTGGGAGAGAACTGTCGTCCTATACCATCAGCGAAAACCTCGACCTTGTCCTCTGTCCTGAAGACTATGCCTCCAGGACCGTGGATGTGCGGAGTTATTCTCGCTTTCCGGTTCTGAGCGACTTCGCCACTTTCCAGAGAGGAGTACTTGAGTCAAGCATCCCCACCAGAAAATCGTTCCATTGCTCATTGCGGAATTCATGAAGATCATTTCTTACTTCATAAACAAGATTCGTCCCTCTGCGAATGTCATCAGGATGACAAGACCTTTTCGCTTTCTTAATTAAGATAAAATTTAAGATATCCCAAAAGTTTCCTTGAAACCATCGTTTTGAAAAAATACTTGGTTGCCACGTTTTCGGGTTTGTTCGTTTACTTTTCAGACGTTACAGTAGGTCATGTTGAGCAACCTATGACCGCTTGACCTCAGGTATGAGAATGCATTCCCTAATTCTAATAAATTCGATATTAGAGATTTGGAAAATATAACGTCAATTGGATAGAGCACTAGACGTCTGATTTGCGATGAAGTTAATACTTTCTTCAAAAACAAT